CAGATACGAACTTCACCATGCATATACAAGTTCACTTGGATTTACTTGAACAGTGGAACTTCAGCTCACAAAATTCAAAGAACAAGCCTACGTACTTTTTTCTAACCCTCAGTGGTAACCCGCTATGCAAAGTTTCGAGTCATAAACACCTGGAACTGCTACTATTTCAAGAATCGCTACAGTGGGACAATCACATCCATTACATCCTGAATAAAAACAAAAGTAGAATGAGTATTTTTCGTATATTAAGCACAATCCTACTGAGACCACTTCTACGTCGGATTATTCTTCATACATATGTTAGTTGTTGAAAATAGTATTCAAATATATTGCTGTACAGACGCCTATAGTCTTCATATTTTACGACAGAAGCAGCACTAATCATATTCGCTGCAATTAGAGGAACTAGTTGAGGGAAGTTGGAGAAAGATCTGGAACTTCCCACCATCGATCAACTGATTAACTATGTGAAGATGTAATTCTTTCACAAACTAGTGAATGGGTATTCACATATCTCATTGAATTTCAAAACACATGTCGATCAACAAGACACTCTCACGTCACCACATCATTCTCATACAAGGCAAAAAAAACTATAATAAATCTAATAAATCCTTCCTTTCAAGTTCAATAAATGCGTGGAACAAACTTCCTAGTACACTTCGAGATATGTTTGATCCGCAGGCTTTCTCACAAACTTACAAAGTTCATCTTAATTTTCCTTTTAAATTGCCATCCTGTTATGACAGACAGTAGCAACACGCGAACTAACATGGTCAGATGTCGCACGAGACTGGGTATCAATCATCTAGCAGCCGATCAATTTAACCGTGATTACACTACTAATCAGAACTTCAAAGCATGTTAAGTTCCTGAAACGGCATGTCACTACTTTCTATACTGCAACGAATACTAATATTCGTAATTCATTCATATCTAGCATGCCATAACGAGGCAATGGAATTCATACAACTCTATATTGATAAAATTTTCAAGATTAGCAGAAAGAATTCAGAAATAAACATCAAGCTTTTTTTTAATTCATGAATTCAGAAATTGGAATCACCTTTTTCCAATTTGAGGAATATTCAGAAATTGAGAGACACTTTTTATTTTTTTCAATTCAAAGAATACAAAAAATGAAAAAATGACTTGTTTTTAAACTTTTCGATTTTTGTATTCAGGAATTGAAAAAGATCGTTTTTTCCTAGTTGTTTACATGTTAAATGTTCAGAAACTCAGCATACTGATTCACAAATACCGATGCGGTTAGAATGAAGCTTGTTTGTAACCATGGTGAAGCACGGAGTGGCGTAGGAAGATGAGAGTGAGCCATCACCCAACATTGAATCATACGCTATAGCAGAAATGCCACCTGAAAATCTTTGAATAACTTTGATTATATAGTGGAATTAATATGAAATTCTGAGTTCTGGAAGAAAATTTAGATTGAACGCATAACAAGAATTTTTTTGAATTCTGCAGTAAAAATGAGAATTCCGATTTGTAATTTCGTTAGAAAAAAGAAATCTGAATAAATATTCAGAAAAAACTTTGTGACAGATACTCTGTGAGGAATTTCCAGCAGAATTGATCTGGAATTCGAGAATTGAGACTTTCACTTTGTTGTAGTTTGTCTGGACATACAAACTATTTTTGAGTCATTACAGATGTAGAGCAAACATTTTTCTACAAAATGAGACGTCACATCTCGGATGAGACGTTACATCCGGTGGCATGCTGTTTTTCATCAGCTCATATTAGTGGAGAAAAAATGGGTATTATGTACAGGAAAAGACATTTTTCTGAAAACTGCACATGAATCAATGCTAGCTACTTATGTCAAAACTTGCTATAAATTCTTTTTTCCTAACCGTTTAAAATAGATCTTTTTAAAAACAAAGTTAGACAAGCTCGTGAAAGGTACCCTGAACGGATTTATATGATTTTTAGACGGTTAAGAGAAAAGAATTTATAGCAAGTTTTGACATAAGTAGCTAGCATTGAGTCATGTGCAGCTTTTAAATGCAAAACTAAAAAGGTTCATTAGCGAAAAGTAGGAGAAAAATGTCTTTTTGGCTGTGAATTTACTAAAAACACAGAAAGTTAAAAAAAGTAGGAGAAGTAGGAGAAAATTCAGAAAGGAGGATATAGTAGAACGGTTTTACAGAAAAGTAGAAAAAGTGTTTACGAAGCCTGATACTGTAAAACAGAAAAGGAAAGACGTAAAGCTATATATAACAATAATACTATCCTTACTTGTGAAATCGTTTAGTAGATACAATATACTCAATAACACTAGTATAGACGAATAGATATTAGTCTCTAGATAGGAAAACTTTTAGTAACAAAAGATTAAGATTTGTGGGTAGGGGCGGGTCTATAGTTGAGAACTTTTGCTGTGAGACAGAACGCGGTGAGCGGTATAACACACAATGTAGAAAGTAGTGCTGAACTGTTTCTACACATCCGCATGCACAAGTATTAGATCTGCATAAATTTCTTTGGTTTAAATCATCGTTAAGCGTTGAAAAATTAGCGCGGATTCTGTTAAAAACAACGTCGCTAAAACGATTAATATTGTAGACACGATAATGAGATGTTTTTACATTGTAAAACATAGAAATGTGCGTACGAAAATTTTTGAAAGAACTATATTTTATATGGTCAGGAAGTGTTGACCATTTTTTTAAAGTATAAATAAAGAATAAATTATTTGCGCAAGCAGAATCTAAAGTTGTTTGTTGTCTACTTTACGTGGACGTGCTAATTCTTGAATTCTTTCTGCTAATCTTGAAAATTTTATCAATATAGAATTCTGTGAACTCCCCTCCTTCTTACTCTAACTGACAGAGAATAGTCAAACTCGCATGTTTCACTAACTCCTCCACTTCTAAAATCAAAACTAATCATAGTTTGCTTCTGTTCGGATCTCATAGGCTTTCAAAAGTTGAAAACCTCAAAATAGCAGAGTACGCTCAAGAGTACTCGAAGCGTTTCCCCTAATTTACATGTTTTTACTCGTTCTCTCCTTGTACCATCGTTATTCATATTTACTTGTCTGTTGCTGTGTTATATAGCTATTTACCTTTATACATGACTAATGCTTAATGCTATGTGTGTTCTAACTTATTCACTTTTATCTTCTTCACCACCTTAATACCATAACAAAAACAGTAGACAAGGAGAATGATTTTTTTGTATTAATCCGTGTAAAATAAATTGTTCAATTACTATGCTTTCTATTTTGAAACGGATAGTAGTTCTTTTTTTTTCTTAGTAGTACAACGGTAAGATTGCAGAGCCTCATATAGTCGAGCGGGATATCGCATTTTTATGAAAAACTTTACATTATTTTGAGTCTCGAAGTGGCAACTCGAGAGCTCAATAATGTTTTAGAAGGAAGATTTAAACGAAAAAAAAGAAATTTACAGTGTTTGTTATGGATCTATGCTCATCTTAGAGTGTGTATGCATGTTCTGCTATACATAAATATTGTCAGGTGCTGCTCAGCTAAACATTAATATCAAGTCAGAAAGAATTAAAGACGACGAATAATAGACAGACGTGTTATCCGTTCTGCTTGTTTTGCATCTATATTTTGGAAAAACATTGCGCTTTCGCTCACATTTGAATATAATATGTAACGTAAGTGGACGTTTCGGAGAACTCCCCTCGTCGAGGCTAAAGTTTTTTCTATCGTTGTTTTTCACCTGTGATAAATTTCTATTCACCCTGACATACCTGCTCTGTCTTACGCATTGTTTATTGTTATGAGCTGTTCGCTGCTACAGATTATGACGGTAATGACTAAGTAAATGAAAAAGAGTTACTTCAATAAAAATAAATAAAACTATAACTTTGAACGTTCCTGGAATAATATCTGAAGATTATTTGTCCTGGAAAACTTCTTTTTCTTATCTATCTAACAAACAATTTTCTTTAAAATGGAAATTAAATGAACGTGAATGACTAAATAGATTTCAAGATAAATTTCTTTTTCAAATAGATACTACATGTTACGGATGATGCTTTCGCTTTATAGCTTATATATGAGCATCGCCTCAATTCTTAGCGTTCGTTTGATTCCCATTTTAAAAAGAACTGTTTGCTCTAGAGAATGAGAGGTCTCGGAGTTCTGTGTGAGCTTCCGTCCCCAGACTATAATCTTACCAAAACATCACTGACTTATGAAAAGGTGGGTCGCTATGTAGATAGGCCTTGATGCGGCTTTATACATTCGTTGTAAATTTCGTTTTTTCAGATATTGTATTATGTGATGTTTTATTTTCTCTTCAAACGGATTCTCAAATGAGATTCATATTATCGTCGAAAATGAAATTTTTGCCACCGTATATTTCTGCTTAATTAAGACTTATATATCAACAAGAGACTACTAAAAACCGCATGTACTTATTTTTGAAAAATAATTATATAAATAACCTTGAAATAACTAAATCGTAATATTTTTTGCTAATGATATCTCTATACATGTAAGTACAGAATGAAAGTTATTGTAATGTTAATTTGATGTACATTCATGTTGGTTGGTGCTTATTGATGCGTAGAACGTTAAATATTTGACAAATGTATATCCAGTTTATATCTGATTATGTTACGGCATATTAATGACTTGTAGGTCCAAGTGACTCAGACAGGCACGAAGAAATTTGTCATTTGCAAATGAATATTTTCTATACTGACCTCTTTGACTATTTCATTGTGATCAGGTACGAGATGATGAACGAACTAATAGACTATTGTTTTCTATTGCTTAAACGAAATGTTAGTTTGTTTCAGAACAAATGAAATTGGTGAAAACAATAGAGTTAACGAACATTAAGTTACCAAATCAACCAAGTCATTCATTCATTTGCTTCATGTCAGAATTATCGTATTCTCTCTGTTTTCAGATATTTAGAGATGATTTGTTAATTTTTCCTCAAAAGTATTTATTGAAACTCTTGCAGACCATCCGAAAATAGAATTTGGTGCTGAGTATGGGAGCAAGATTTAATAAATTTAATCGTAATGGCGAAAGAAAACCAAGGAAAGAAAAACGAGGAAAGAATAAATACAGGCTAACTCCAGAACGTTCGAATAGCCACGATAATGATTTACAAGCTTTGCATGCAAATGCCATGAGTCAATCAGTATGGTCATCAAAATCACTTCAAGATGTAAATAAAAACTATAACGGTATGTTAACATACGAAAGAAAGTGGTTGATTTCACTTTCTTAAAATCGATTATCAAGTTTAGATCATCCAGGAGCTCCTCTTACTTATTCCTATTATAATGATTTTGATCGTCAGCAAAATGAACTGCAGACATGGCAAGAAAACAGTACTTCCTATCCATCGAATTCGGCAATATTAAAACCATCTTTAGCCAATCCTGGATATGATCAAAGTGTAACACTTTCCGCACCACAAAGAGACTATGATGAATTGCGATCGTCAAAAAAAGACGGAAAAAAAGTTCAGTTTGCCGAGCACCTTTATCCTGAAATGCATCATAAACTACAGACACAGAATCACTTGACTTATCCGACTGATTCACAAAATCCATTCACGCAACGTCTACTAGAATCGATTTCATTACAAAATGTGTCAGCAAATCAAAATTTTCAACAACAACCTCAACATCAGCACCAATTACAACAACAGCCATCTCTCAAAAACGACCTAGCAAGATCATCTCAAATGTTAACGGAAAATTTAAGTGAGGAAAAAAGGCGTTCAGTAGTTAAAAAAGGGCTCGCAAATGATCGACCAAAAGCTGTTTATGTCGATATCGATCATCGTGCTACAATGGAAATGAACCATTCTAAAACAAAACCGGTGAAACCAACACAAAAAGCAATAACAATTAATATCGGGGATTCCGAATCACCTTCTAATCATCAACGTCATCGTTCACAAACAAAATCAGATGCAACGAAGACATTTGAACAATTTCAAGCAAAAATTTCAAATCCAAAACGAAATCGTACAGCTAATCACGATAGTTCGGCTTTAATTGAAAATGAATTACGTCCATCGAAACCACTACCACAACAACAACAACAACAACAACAACAACAACAACAACATAATTTACCTGAATTACGATCTCGACGAACCAATTCACCTCATAAAACTCAAAGTGGTCATACTCGACGAGTAATTATAGATAAAACAGACAATAAACAAGTATCGAGAACACGGACAGACATACCGACTGCTAATAGTGGTATTAGATTAAAAAATACCACTGTTCCACAAACGGTTACGAATGAGGTCGTTCGTTCCAATAATCGATTACGTAAAACGGGTTGAGAAACATATTTATCAATTCGTTTTAAAAGAATGCGTATTCGATGGTTGAAAAAATGTATTTTGTATATATAAAGTAAATGGAAGAATCAACATAAAATGAGTTGACAAATGAAGTTAAAAAGCTATATAAGAGTAGTCTCTATTGATTGAGAATGTTATATCAATTTGAAATTATCTTCATCCTATAAAAAATGTATTTGACTGGAAAACCGATAAGTAAAAATTCTTGAAAATGTCTATAATCTTTGTGCCACACTTTGTCAGAACAGCACAGACAGAGACATCTATTCAATAATTTATTATTGTTCATAAAACTACTTTATTTTGTGAACATATGTGCGGTAGTAATAGAAATTCAATAATCCAAGTAAAAAAAATTTCGTTTTAGCTTGGGAAGTTGCTTATGAATGCAAAAGTAAATGATTCAATATTATTGCATCTAGACATATTTGTAAAAAATTTACCCATATTTTGACAATAGACAGAAGGTCAATAGTTCGTTTTATTAATTGTTTGTAAGCAAGTAAAACTGAAAGAAAGAAAACGCTTATAATTATTTAAAAATGATAAGAAAATCATGTGAACCTACATGCTGTCTTATAGTGAACTAACAACATCATTTGATCCTGTTTCTTTAAATGTTTTTCTAATTTCACATATACGTATCAAAAGACTAGGAGGCGAATTTTATCTATTATTCTACTTATTTCATCTGTTCAAACAAATTGAAATCAATTATTAATGATAGAAACTTTTTAATTCATCTGCTGGGGGTCGTATCACGAAAAAGCTTAAGTCAGACTTAAGTTTTTTTGTGATACGGCTCCCTGATAAATTAGAACAAATTAATGTACTGCGAGGAAAGACAGACTAATCGAAAACACAACACATATTAGACAAATGCTTTAGTAACAGTACAGAATAATGAAATAACTTATTTGTTTATTTTTATTCCATGAGCCAATGTATCTTGTCCAGAAAGATTGAATAATGCAAATTTTCCACAAGACATTTCTCTAAATCTGAAATCTAGTTCTCATCATTTTGAAATAAACAAATTCAAGATGAATTGGTCTTTCATGAATTGATAAATCATTTTGAAGAACTTTTAGACACGGAATATGAGAAATTATTTTTAATAATTAATTTTTATCGTTATAATTATTATCAACTTAAACAAGAAGTGGTAAATCGTTCCACTATCTTTAGGTATAAAAACGTAATAAAAAAATTTCAAACATATATAAATGTAGAAAAAAAGTTTTGTTTTTTTGAAAAACAATTCAAAAAGAAAATAGGTTTCAACAAACTCATAAAAAAGTAATACATAACAAAAATGTTTAGAACCATACACACACACACACGGTCGCGCATGCACACTAAAAAAAGAAATTCACTAAAACTAGCTTCATTTCATTGGATTCAAAATATACAAGAAAAAACTAAAAGCAACAGAAAATTATACAAAAAACTGATGGCAACAAAAACTGAGATTGCACTTATGTCATAAAATTAAGAATTTGAAAATGATCAAGAACTCTGATATAATTCATTATTTTTATCCACATGTCCATATTTAGCTAAATGAAGAGCTTTTAGACGATTTCGGGCTTCGTCTAATTCACGTTCTTTTGTCAATATAATTTCTTTTGCTTTTATTTCTTGAGCAATACCAGGTACGAATCTCATAGATACTTCTAAATATTTTTCTTCTTCTTGCATTTCAACAGCTTGTTGAGATGAACGAACAAGAGCATCGGTTGCGCGTTTAACAGCATTACCTATAAACAAAAACAACAAGGTCGACAATGATTTAGTTGATGGATTGATATTAGATACTGACCAGCATTTTGTAATCGTGTCATTGATTGACTCATGAAATCAGCTTTTACTTTACAAGCCACAAGAAGTGCAGCTGTATTTGATGAGACTTGTTTTGCAGCCGATATGAGTTTTTCTTCTGTACCGTGACCTTGCACTAGACCATTTGCCGCATCGCAAAGACTATGACATGCAACAGCCACATAACGAGCCTGAAACAAATATTTTGTCTTTCTATTTTTGCTATACATTTGTTACAAAAAACTTACAGCGGATATTAATCCTTGTGACCATTGTCCATCTTCCTCTTGATTGCTTCTTCTTCTACCAGTTGCATGTGATAACTAGAAGATGAAATGTCTCTTAAGGCATGTATTTCTATGTCTGTATGAAGAGACCAATTTTTGTTAGTAAAATGTTCTAACAACAGATTACAATATATGCTTCACTTGACGTATTGCTAAATGGTGAATTACGAGATAGAATCGATATGTTAATCTAAGAGTATACTATAGAAGAAATTATAAACTTGTCACCAGAGAAATGAACATGATCTTATGAAACTGACACGGTAGACATCTCTGCAGAATTAAAACATCAAACTTGCCAAAACAACATCTTTAGAGCTAGAAAAATGTATGCAGTTATACGTAATATTACGCAAGATAGCCTGAGTTACAAACAATGAATCGTGTTTTGTTCAATTTTGTCATGAGACTGATACCTAGTCTATAGTATAATGCGTATTCCCAACTTCTCGCTATGAGAAAATGATCATGCAAAAAATAAAGTTACAACAATGATGACGATGACAAATAAAGAATCAGTAACTGTTAAAGAAAGAACACCACATAAAGCTTTTGTGTATGTATGTTTTATACCTGTGGGGATGTAGTGAAACAAACGTTTTTAGGTAAAAACGGGTTCATGCGTTTCTAGATGTGAGAACAGAAAATTGACAGAAAGAGAGAAAAAAATCATCATATATTTTCAAAGTAATAAAATAAATCATCTGCGGCACTTACTTTTCCTTGTGAAACCAATTCTTTTTGGGCAGCTGTGGCTCCTTTAATCAAGGCGCCGGCTGCATTCATTATAGATTTAGCCGCTTCAAGTATTTGTTCATCAAAATTCAAATTCTCATTAATTTCCTGAAAAAGAAATCGAATAATTACAGCATGTAGCAACCATTTGAATAGATGTAAGAGAAAACATCATGCATCGACGAGTTCGCATAACGTGCAGCGAATATTACAAACTTAGAAATAAACTAAAAAACAAATGATTATCCAATATAACTGATGTTAATAATTTACTGGCCCGCGTGATCATGGTTGCCACAAATTCTTGTGTGATTATGTTTTAAATGGTATATGAAGAACATTCATAACAGCCAAACTTCCATAAGTCAGTTACTTATAAACAAACAGTATACTTGTCTAATTTTGTTTATATCTCAAACAAGCTGTAATATCCATTCCATATTAGACGAACAAAATTTAAAACAAACAACTAGCATCGTGTATAGAATGAAGTTATCTGTGCTTGTGTGAAGGAAAGCCGTGCAGATATGAAAAATACTCGGTCGATTCATGCTCGGACAACCAAATATCAAACATATCATAACGACAAACCCTATCATGAATCTTTCTACAAATCATGCTAAAACAAAATTCAAAAAAACTTTTTTTCTCCATTGGTAATACCTTTATTTTCTGTCGTGGTTTCAAATAAGACAATTTTTTTGCTGCTGCTTCGATACTTTGAGCAGCTAATAATAATTCACTTTCAGCAATATATGTTGGATCATCCGGATCTATCCAATCAGAACCTTCAAATAGAAAAAAAAATTACAGTATCAACTTCTATTCTATTTCTTAAATTACTCGTTATGCTACTTAATAACTCTTAATTTTTTTCTGTTTACCTTTAAGTTGTTCGGCACAATGTACAAGATCTTGAGTAGATTGTGTAATTGATCTCAGATATATTAGTAACTTTTGTTTAGTTTCATTTGATGGTTTTTGTAGCAAAATATGAATAGTTTCTAATAATTCTTTATAATATTTTGCACAATTTTTTCCACTATCTAATGTACGCTGTCTCAAATCTTGTTGAGCGGTTGTATATGCACTACATTTACAAACAAATAACAGATCAGATATTGATTTTCGACCTAAATTCGCCGCAGCAATTATTTCATCTTGACGACATGATTGACCAGCACTAATCGCTTTACTAGTTGCAACGGTAAGCTGAAATAAAAACAACTTGTTTTAGTAGGGATGAAACATTTGCTTCGATCAAAAACTTTCGGTGGCGGCATTAGTTCGTAAAGAGGACTATTTATTTTTCTCGAAATATAATTCATAATACAAATTGCTTCGGTTTTCTCCATCTACTATTTTCCTACATCATCTTTGTATATATAACACTAAATAGCAGATATTTTGTTTTATTAACCAAAAATAAAACATATCTAGATTACAACAGTATTCTTATTATTTTCAAAGGTGTAATTCTCGAAAAACATTTTTTACACGATAAGGACGTGGGGATAGTTGGAGTGTTAGCTTTGAGACGATATTACTCATGTCTAGTAGACATAACACGTTATATGAAACAATAAAAAATTGTACCTGTTTTGCAACACGAATAAGTTCTTCAGGTGGCGTACGTAAACTCGGCGATTGGTCACTTGAAAATTCACGAATTTCCTACAAGGAGAATGAAATTTGAAAAAGACAAAATCGTCTAATAATTTTCTTTTACCTGAGCAATAGCTTCGATGGCAGCTTCTAATGCATTTGTACCTCTTGATGCTTCGTCTTCAACTGATTTCACCGTTTTCAATAGCGATGTTACATTTGTGACCATAATTTTAGCTGATTCTTTTAATTTTTGCATTTCAGGATCGTTGATATCTTTTCCACTCGCCGATTTTGTGACGCTTATTAGATTATTTAAAGCTTGTGCAACATCCTTAACACTGTTGATAAGAAGTACTTGTGCTTCGCCATCTTCAGCACCTAACGAAGCAGCACCAAGTTTTACAACTTCGGCCAACTAAACACATTAGAAACAGAGTTATGTGTGATTCGAAGTAGATCATATATTGTCGTACCTTCGTAATCGTTCGAACAGCAGCTTGTGCAGCCGAAGCTAATTGCTCTTGTGAACTCGCAGCTCCAGCCACCAATGTTTTGGTATCTTCGACTAGAGCTTTTGCTGTTTTAAGAATAGCTTCACGATGGTCAGCAAATGTTTCCCCATCACATTCAGAATTTAATGTACCAGCCGTTGCAAATAGAATTGTCGTATCCTAAACAAAACAATTTAGTATCCATAAACAAAATAACATGTCGAATATCAATGTGAACTTACCAAATCAGCTATGATACCACTCACAGTACTAGCAGCATTGATACAAGCCTGGGTGCCGCGTGCCGAAGCTTGAAGTGCAGCCAAAACATAAGAAATCTTAAATAAGAAACAATTTGGTTTTATTTTATATTCAGTTTATACTTTATCGTCACTTTAATACAATATTGTTACTCACTTTTTCAATAACTTTTTGACACAAATCTTGTATTTCATGTTTTAGTGTTTGATCATGTGGATTTTGTTGCAATTGTCCTATTTTTTGTATTAATTCGATGCATGTCTCTCCCAATTCGATAACAACACGTTTAATTCTGCTTGCTAATTCTGTAGTTGATGCTGTTCCAATAGCACCGTATGTTGCTCGTATTAATTCATTATATTTTCTTGTCAATTGAGTAGCCAAATGTTTAATATCCTCATTGGATGATGATTTTGTCAATATGTCTTGTGTTGTACGTGCCATTTGTCGAACAATTTCAACCATGCACGTTTGATAATCCTGGAAGAGACCATCAGTGATAACGTTCGAATCAACAGTCTGAATTGATTTTCGAATATTTTCACAAAGACCACTCATAATACCGATTGATGATGAATTTTCTTCAATTGTATGAACTAATTCTCTCAATATTGATATCATTTGCGACGAATTTTCATCAACAACTTTATGCCATTGAATACTTTTCACATTACCACCTGATTCTTTAGCAGATAGCAGTAATTGTAAACCAATTTCCACAACAGATTTTAATTGTTCTAAAATTGTTGTCTGTTGTCGACTATTTGTTATACGTGATACATAATCAATTGTATTGCGAACTAATGGTTCAACATACGTAGTTAATTGTGTGACACATGAACCTAAACGTTCTGGTTCACGTTTTGCTGAACGACGAATATCTTCGATATATTCTGACATAAAATGAGAACTTGACGAAATTTGCTCTTGATGAAACTAAACAAAAGAATAGTGATCATATCAGATAATGGTTAATGTATACTTTTATATATAGTTTAGCCTACTTGAAGAGATTTATCCGTTTTGGGCAATGACCCAATATTCATGATAGCTTTGTCAACGTTGTGAAATAAAATTCGAAGTTCTTCAATAGCTCTTTCACATTCACGTGAGCCAGGCGTCATTTCTCTACAGTAAATAATAGATTTTTGTTTTGTTTAGTGACTATAAATAAACAGATAGTTCAACATACTTGACCGATGTAGCTAGACGTTTAATGGATTCTGAAACAGTTTTTGTATGCGTCGCCAATTGTTGCCATTGACTTGGCTCTTTTGAATTCAGAATTAACGTTTTCGAACATTCGACTATTTTACACGCACCATCAACAACATTACGAGCTGCTGATAAAATGGGTTCTTGTAATTGACGACCCTAAACATGAGCACACGTGAATAAATTGTATTTTTTTTATTTTACTTGATTCATGCTGAACTTACTGCGATACTAATAGATGCTGGTATAGACGAAAATTCTTTTGACATGGCATATGTATAAAGTTCATCAATTGATTGAAGTAATGGTCGACTTTTTTCGATGCATTCTCGATGATGTTCGTGTGCATAAGAACTATCCAGGATCTAGATAAAAAAACAATAAAGTTTTAACTTAGTTTTGGATTCAAAGAAATGCCGTGAAATTTACCTTTATTGATCGAACGAGATTAGCAGTGGCATTTGCTACATCCTTTGCTGATTGTACAAAACTTCTACGAGCTAGTGCATTCGTTGTTCGAGATGAAGCATCACGGGCTGCATTACATAGTGCTGATGTATTTCTTGCGATAGTTGTTGCACAACTCAAAATCTAGTGTAAATAATAATTTTTTTTCTTGAAGAGATTCGGTAAAATTCATAATGGATCTGTACCTCATTTTTGTCGATAGTTGAACTTGACAAATCATTACATGCTTGACGTATTGCATTAACAGAATGGTGAAATAACTGTTGATCAACAATGCCAGATTTGCCTTTCGTTGATGATGAATCCGATACACCAATCAAATAAGCTGCTTGACCAGATGCTTCGCTTAAACCACAAACAGCTGTTGAAGCATCACGAACAGCTCGTGAAAACAATGGATGATTTGTGTTTTTCACTGCACTGGCTACATTTGTCATCGCAGAGCCTAAGTTCTAAAATAATAAAAAAATTAGTTGATGTCTACATAATTGACTTTCAAAGATTTATGAAAATAGAGTTATAAAAAAAATAATTTAAAATTAAACTTTTATTAAATGAGACAAAACAAACCTTTGAATAATCAACAACGTGATCTAATGCTTCGAAATACGTATAGTCTGTCACGGGTTCAATGGGATGCTGTAAAATTGTTTTTGATGTTTGCATTTCTCTAATCGCATTATCACACTCTAATCGTCCTACTGATGATTGTTTTGTAGTTGTATCAGTAGCTAAACAACTGGTGATAACATCATTGATACTTTCCGTTACAGCTCTAAAAATACATGAACATGAACATAAAAATTCAAATGAAAAATGTTAATAATTACTTTGCAGCTAATGTCAACGGATTCCTAGTGGACGTTGCAGTTGTTGTTATATCAATTGATGCTGATTTAGCTCGTTCAAGCAATTCACTCGATGATGTATGTACTTGTTTTAAGGATGAGATCACTTTAGAACGTTTCTCATCTTCCTAAAACCAGAATATAACTTTATTCGTTATTTAATCATATCTAAAACAAAACGAGACCTGACAACCAGCTAAATCAATTCCATTGTCTATAAATTCACCAAATGCATGACTAAAGCGTTGCGTTGTTGTTTGCAATGCGGTTGTTCCACTGCGTGCACCTTAATGAGAGAAAAAAGAGACATTTCGAGTACAGTAGATTCTTATCAAAGTCATTTACAGTGATAACTTACTGACAACTAATTCTGTAGTTGCATTATTTAAATCAGCTGCTGCATGATTGATATGTGTTTGTACGTCATCAAATGTTCTAGACGGTTTTCGACTGTAAGGACCGGCCAAAGTATAAACATATTCGGATATTTGTTTCAGAGCATCATCAATATATCGTTGACTTGGCATATTTGTCAAACATGCATTTAATGCTGATTGAACTTCTTTTGCAATCTAAGATGTAAATAGGTTGTAAATTTAGTTGAATATTGAATATTTGAGAATCATCACTCATGTAATAAATATGTCACTTTTGAGAATTTAATTATGAAAAGATTTTCATTAAATACCTCGGCTAATCTTGTTTGTATCTCTCTGTCTTGTGGTAAATGTACAGCTTTTTTAGCCTCTTTAACTAATTTTGTTGATTTTTCTAATAGTTCACGAGACGAATTGATAATTGTTTCTTGTATACGGTAATCGGATGAACTCGCCGCTATGCCACGAATTGAATTTGTTAATTTTTTTAACGTATTTAGCGTGTCTCGTGCACATATTCCCGTGCAATTCTCATCACCCTTAAAAGAGACAAAATATTAGTGTTAAGATTAATTTGATTCGAAAATATGATCTTTACTTGTGTAACAGCATTCAATAACTGAGATACAGCTGAACCTAAAAAAGCAACAATTTATAATAGCAATGTATAAATTTACACATAAAAAGGAAAATGCATTCGATCATTGTAGTAATTAATAAATGGATTTATAATGCTATTGTTTCTTAACAGTAAATACTCTGTTGTACTCACCCACTTGTTTACACACTGAATACAATTCAGCAGATGATGTGTCAATCTATAAAGAAAAATAATTTCTATTAATAAAATCTTGATGTTCTTTTCGGTAATTGTATTCACCGTTTCTTCAAGCTTTGGTCGTAATTTTCCATCTTTTGCTTGTTTCTGGAGCTCTATTAGTTCTTTATCTAGTAAATCAATCGATTCAATTATAGTTTCAACATCTAATACTGCACCACACAATTCCTGAGCCTAAAAATTAAATCATTTTTATACAAAGATGATTTTAATACAATATTTTATCTTACTCGAGTTAGACACGAACGAAGATCTATGTTTGCTTGAGTCAATTGTTTCAAGCTGTTATTTAAATGTAATGCCTGCGATTGATCTTGAATTGTTGGCACAGCTGCTTTTGCCAAATTTGTTAGACGTGTCGCTGGTCCAATAAAATCATCACACGAATTTATCAAATTAATTTGTGAACTAAAGGCATCCGGTTTTACAATTATACCACGAATTCCTTTAAAAAAAATTAAGAGTATTACTTTTTTTCCCTCAAATATGATGAATGAATCGATTATATACCTTGAACAAGTTTTGGAATCAAATCCGCAACTTGTTTACATTGTTCGGCTAATTGTTGATGCGATTGTGCATTTTTATTTGATTGTGCTGAGCCTTGTGTGGCTGCTATGCATTGTGTCGCTGATGATGCACAATTTTTTGCACACTGTTCAACGCGTTTAAGAACTTTACGTTTTACATTATTACTAGAAGCCACATTTGTTGCCGATCTAGAAAAAATGTGTGTTTTAATACTTTTCTATCTAATATTTAATTCTATACTTGCCTTAGTTCTTCTGCTGCCTTTTTCAAATGATATTGTAATTGTGTGTCATTTGGTTTAGTTGCACAACCTTTAGCCGCTTCAACCATTTTAGCCGTGGCGTCTGCTAACATTTTAGCGGCTGATAATAATTTTTTTTGTTGATTTGTATCATCAATAGTTGATTCGGCTTGTTGTCTTAATGATGAAACTAATTGAGCTGTTGCTTGTGCTAACACTTTAGCTTGTTTAACCATTTCAGATGCATCACCCACACATGAAAATAAACGATCGGATGCTGTTAAAATTTTATCAATTGATTCGTCATGTTGCGTTGTAGCAACGTTTGAAGTAGTAGAAGCTATGTTTGGTGTTGCTGATGTAAAATGACCGACATCTGTTGATAAAGCAGCACTTTCTGTAGCTTGTTTAATATGTAGCAATAAATCATTCACTGTTTTTGTTACAGATTTTGCTGCATCATCTAATTCTAATAACATTTGCTCACTTGCTGTACCCTGATTACATGAGTTTAATACAGCTTCAATTGAACGTGTGACGTATCTTGTCGATTCTATCAATTGTTCTTGACATAACGGACTTGATATAGTTGCAGAAACAACCTACTCGAGCGAAAAATATAAAGTTAAATAAGATGAAGTTTTCACGTTTGTATAATATAATAAAATTACCTTAGTACATGCTACCAGTTGAGATGTGGCCAATGCACATTGTGTTGCTGTTGATATGATGTCATTAACATATTGTTGTTCATTAACATTACTCGCTATATCTTTCGCTTTATAAACATACAGTGCCGTTGCATTTGCAACAGATTTTGCTAACGATAACAATCTCTCTTGATAAGTACTGTCAAGTATATCGTCGTTTGTTCCATTTGAACCAATTTTTTTAATTAAATCTTGACTAACTTCACCTAGCCGACTTGCTGTTACAAGAAGAGACTGTCTGGCCATTGAATCTGCTGTATCCGACTCAATACATAGTAGTAAATCACTGAATGTTGAACATAAACGTCGAGTTGCATCCATTAACGGATTTGTTTGATCATTAACTTCAGTTATTGCTGAATAAACTTTCATTTCTTTACAAAATTCATATAAATTATTTGTTATAGTTGATATGGCAGCACCAAGTGAATGTTCATCAGAACGATGCTGATCAGATGTTAATGTTACTATTTGAGCTGTCGAAGCGTTTATAGCACACAATTCACTGCCTAATATCTGACGACTAACATCTGAACGATTTTCACGACTCCATTGTTGTTCATCCTGTTGAAATTAAACATATATATCTACAGTTTTACTAAATTTAAAATGAAAGAAATTAACAACTATGTACCGGATGTGGATGTAAATATTCTAGATGAAGTTCTCTTGCTAATTGTGATTGTGCCGTGTGAATAGAATTTCTTGCATTTTCAATCGTTGTGAACAAAGTCTTACGACGTGATGACGGATAATCCATGGGATGCATTGATTCTAAATAACGCTCCTAAAAATAAATAAAACCAAAAAGTTAATGTTGATAAATTAAACTATTGGTCAAGAATAACTTGTATGAGATTTACTAACGATTAAAACACAAAAATTATAATCGATAGCGAAATCTTATTCTATTGTTTAATGTTGCACATGCTAATATGTTTCAGAAAATGAATTTTCTTAAAACAATAAAATCGAATAGCACAATGCACGATACTAACTTCTGAAATAAAATAAAAAACACTCTATAGATAAATCTGTCTCTTACATTAGCTTGTGTAAAATATTCAGCCTCTTGCTCTTGTTGATGAATATTGTTACGTTGATTCATGTCGTAATAACTCGGCATACTCATCATGGGCTCATGGCCATAATCATTTAAATGTTGATGATGTAAACGACCACCATCTAAATATTAAATAATAAGTAGAATTCAATAGTGTCACAATATTATTTTATACCAGTTAACGTTCCTCTCATCAGAGGTGGGGAATAAACGTTTTCTGTGTGAATATACCCAAATGGTGGACGATTTGGTTGAATAATTGTAGCTCTAAAACAGACAGTTTTCATTCGTTTTTACATTTTTTCTATAAAGAAATACTAGAACAATTTACTTTGCTGGTGAGACAACATCCTCAACCATTGTTGCTTCGTCTTCTCCATTATCTCGCGCAGTATATTCACGATCTTTTTTCTATTTTGTCAAAAGATAATAAAAATAATAAAAAAAACAATTTCAGATTTACAAAAGAAAATAAAACTTACCTTTTTAAGTATAATATCAATATAGCCGGCAATTAATTGTGAAATTTGTTCACCATCATTCGTTTGAACAGAATAATAAGCAGTTGCATAATCACCAAAATCCTTAGAAAACGTAGAAAAAATGATCATCTCTCTCTCTCTCTACATATATATATATATATGAACGTCTATTCATACCAGAGTAAACGTGTTGGGAGATGCAGTCCATCGCTTTACATGTGTTAATGGCCACACTTGATTAAACTTTAAAAAGAAACGAAGTAAAAGTTTAAATATGCTATAAAATTGACGGAAAAAAAATGAATATATCATCTTTTATCTCTTTAAACCTACTTCTTTTGTTCTTTCATCGACGCGAACAATGGAATCTTTTGTTACACCAAGCAGACGTGGTATTAATTTGTTTTTACCTGGCATTTTCTCCTAAAACACATATTATAAAGATTTCCAAAAAATTTTTTATATACAAAACTCATACTTTGACAAGAAAAAATGTGACACCATACGTTCTAAGTGATCGACATAATTGTGTGTATTTTAATTTAGCATCTGGTTCAGATAAACCACTATGTTTCTTATGTTCCTGGAAGAAAATATTTAGTTAAAATAAAAATTAATAGATTGAAAAATAATAAAAATACCAGAAATATTCGTTTTTCAACGCCTTTTATTTTTGTATATTCTTTTGGTAGAAGATCTTTGATACTAAAATATAAAAAAAAACACATTTATTTGTTAATCAAATAGAACGAATATATTTGAAAAAAAAATAGTCATGCACCGATGAAATGCACATCAAACTCATTCCAAAGCACGGAGAATCTCAATAAACATCATAGGGCGAGAAGTACACACGTGAATCGTCTCTTATCCATACCAACTTTCTTTATAATAATGTTCATTCGATGAACAATTACAACATATACTTTCTAACTCTCTAGAATATGTTTTTTTTTAGTTTTGTTAATGATTTGACTCCTTAAATCATTATTCAAATATCAAACTTACTCTAATATGCCTGGCTTATGTTTTGATTCATTATAATCACCAAATTGTATTTGACATTGTAAACCAGCAAATTGAATTGCTTCTTCGAATGTTACTGGATGAGTGCCGTCAATAATACCGTTACGACACTAAAACAACAAAAACAAAAAAAATAGATAATTTAAAAGTTCAATATTTACAATACAATAGTCAACATACTTGAACATAAAGTAAATTTAATTGTACAGGATCACCTTGATCAATATTTTTATCTGAGAAAAAATATTTTCGTTTTAAAACAACCGTTGAATGTTCATCAATGCCTTGTTGACGAAGCGTTTTTGATTGATCAAGCCATAGAGCTAAAGAAAATAGATAAAAATAAAATTTTCATATTAAAATAGAGTTCATTTTCTTACTATCATCATCTGTATGTAATTTTTTCTTTAATTCTTCCATCTTTTTATCTGTTCGTTGTAATGAACGATCCTAAAGTAAAATAAAAAAATATGATCTAATATAAATACAATCGAAAAATGAATGTCTACCTTTAATAGTGTTGATGTTTTTAGAGTATCCGTTAAATCTGTTCCAGAATCAAAAATCAATGAGTATTCATCATAATTTGCAATTCCTAAAAAACATTAAAAATTATTTGATTTTCTATTGAATATAAATATGAATCATAGCGATAGTTAACTTACCAAATTTACTACAAATATAAACAATCAGTTTAGCAAGAATTTGACTATCATCAATCATTATTGTTTTAACTGTGCCATCAAGTAAACGAATTTTAAGTGGACGATACTTGTTTCGATATTCGACAGTATCCTACACAACAAAAAAAAACAACGAGACAATAACAATAAATAATATTTGTAGTTAATATTGATATACATACACCATTTTTTAGTAAATAATAATTTAATGTACGTCCATTATCTAACCAAATACTATTCATAGGATTTGAATTATCGTTAATAAATAGACCATATTCAGATGCTAAAAGTAGAATACATTCAAATATATTAATTGTAAAGAAGATATTTTATTTTCGAAACACCTACGATCTCCACGATATAACAATGGCTCATTCATTATTCTATCTTGAATAATTCGACATATATCATACACAAGCATATTTGTTTCAAATTGCATTGATTTTATGATATTATCACGTGATATAAGAATTTTTAAATTTATTAAATCACTACCTACGCCATTTGTGTAAGTAGTGTTTTCACGACTATTATTTCCGTTCATTACCATTATGATACTTTGTTATTAAGTTCTAATATTTGTTGATGATAATTTAAAGACAATTTGACAATAAATAGTCAATACTAACTGATTGTTGTTGATATATTGATTATTATGTTGCTGTTTTTGTTGATTTTTCACTTTCGTTTGGCCTTTTACAAACATAACTTCTGAAATAATAGAATAAAAATAAAGATAAAAAAAAGAGAAGTTTTTTTAGGTAAAAATGATGATAATGAGTTGTAATTTAATCCCTTAGATATACAATTTGTTTTTTTTCAATTCAAGGTTAATTTGTTTTCGTTCTTCTCTATCTCTACCAATTCAATATTCAGTTCAACAAAATAGAAATTAAATAGAAAATGCTTGTCAGTTGATTTAGAATAATATCTAAATGTCGTGGTTCAAAGAAAACATTATCAATCGAAAGATACCCACTGCATTTTATGAAAAGATTTTCAATTGAATGACAATTTTAAATTTCAACGTTTGAGGCTATATTAAACTTTCAGTACTCTTACTAAGAAGAAGAATATTCCCAATGTCATACAGTGTTATAAATGGAAAACACTTTCATTCGACTGATTAGGTGATTATTCAGAAGAGAAAATCTTGTTAATCGTTTCATAGTTATATTTGCATAAATAAACACATATTCACATAAGTTTTTTATTAACAGATTATCTAACTTTACGCATATAAATATAGTTAAATAAATATCTTTACGAGAAGTTACATATTACACATTTTCTTCGTCTTTTGAATGTACCCTGAGTATAAAATATTTTTCTTCTTTTTTTTGTTTTTTTTCTTATTTCATTTAATCAGTTTTCAAGCATATACATACGCATAAATGAATGCGTTCATTCATATCTGTAAAGGTACATATTATAATACGTGTTCTTTTTTTTTTTTTATCTATTCGTTTACTATAATATAATTTTACTAACATAATAAAAAAGGAAAAGAAACAAGAAAACTATATGTATATATATCCATCTTTGTGAGAAGAAAAATGCCGAGTATTAATTTTTATATTGAATTGCATATGGATATACATGTTAATAGATACAGAGAAGGATTTACGCATACTATAACAATCATAAAGTGTCCGATTTCCTATATCATGCATAGAAATTTTCCGGATCTATAATTTGAATTTGAATAAGATAATGCAATATGAAAAATGTAAAAACGTTTCATTGTACCACGATTCTAAGAAGGATAAATATCAGACCTTCATAATTGATTTTTCAACATGATTATCTAAATAAGTTTTTAATATATGAACAGAAAACATTTTCTTTCTATTCTCTTTTATGTTTCAATATTTTACATAATGCACTCAAAATAATACTACTGACAATATATTGTATCTATTAGCCTCCTATGGGAGATGAAAACACTTGTTTTCTTCGTTCGTCTACTTTCTTCGTTCAAAACTACATCGTTGATTATTCATTCATTAACAATTATGTTCAGTTTTCTATTCAATAATGTCAGTTTTAATTTGTGTCAACGTCACAAAATTTTTTTTTTCTTTCTTTTTCTTAGCACATTATTTTTATTACTATATTATCAAATATAAAGCAAAGCATACAAATAAGTCAAAAAATTTCATTTTTCGATTAATTTGTCAATAGACTGAAACAAAAGAATATCGAGTAATAATTCAAATATCTGCTCTTTTAAATAGTGCTTTTCGTATTGTTTGTGAATGAATTAAGAGAAAAATAATAAAAAAAACTGTAATATCCCGGTATTATTCGACTAATTCGTTTTATGCTTGAAAAATACTGTGTGAAGTCTTGATCTTGTCAAATTGTCTAATAACTCTGATCAAGCTCTTCATGTCTACGTATCTCGGTTCATCCGATTGTGACGAAAAATATAATTTTTTTTCCTAACTGAACAAAAAGCTAGTACGTGATTAGTAACTGTATATGAGGAGTTCAAGCAATACGACTAACATTCTATTCAGTAATAAAGAAATGCAGGATTAGTTTCGAAGATTCTCTATTTCATGAAGTGACAAGTATGATTTGTGAGCATCCTGCCACAAGACGGTGTATTCTTTCTTCGTGATATCTTAAACAAAAAAAAGAGTACTTTGATCACACTATATATAGTCTAACAATTGCTGTGTGTTCACGAAAGAAAAAAGAAGAAAAAAATATGAAACGAAACAATATTTAGTTGACAACAAACTTTTATTATTAGAAATAGAAATGGTCAATGAATACAATAATGATCCTTTTAATTAAGTTCTATAATTATTTGTTCAAATTTGACTTTTTACTTTATTTTTTATTGGTATATCCAAACTTTTGTTAATTCTTAGATTTGAAGAAATACTGTTGATTTATTTTATTATTCAAATATAATAGTTATTGTGTATTATTTGGTTTTATGTCAGATTTTTCATTTGAATGAAACAAATTTCTGAAGTTGTTTGTTATTCAAAGAAAATTGTCGATTTGAAATATTCATCATTCTGTTATTTCTTCTTGTTACATTTCTTGACAAATGTTTTTTCTCTATCATCAACATGATGTTATTTTGACATCAACTACACAACTAAATCTTTGAATTTTGTTAAGCTAATTAAATTTCTTTTCGTCTTTGGATATTAATTAATATCTGTTTAAAGATCCATTCAATGTATGTTGATATTTTCGAGAATTTCTCATGTTTCTGACATATTAACGAACATCATTAATCATGATTTCTATTATAAATTAAATTTTTTATAAAAACTAGTACAACTATATATGCAATTAATTAATAAATTCATTCTTCTCAGTATTCGACAAATAATTAAAACTATATTTTATCTCTATTGTTTGTTTTATCATTCATATAAATTTTGTTTCAAACATTTTAATTAGAAAATCATCTTATCCAATATCATGTGATAAAAATAAATCATAAAATAAATACTGTTCAATTATGTAAATAATATTTATTTGAATAATGAAATAGATAACATTGGATAAAATTTTATAATCAATTGAATTCATAAATAAATAATTGATGTAAATCGGCTAAACTTTGTTCTAAAAAACTTTGTATAGTTATTTTGTTGTTTTTGTTTTAATGCTGATAATATTAGTACTGTATTTGAGCATTAATGCATATTTGATGTTTTGTTGAATTCACAACTGTAGTAATCATTTTCATGTTTGAATTTCTTAAATATACTTCAATACATGTATATCTTATGTATCAAAATATTACTACTCCATACACTCTTTCGATAAGTTTATAATCTGATCAACAATTTCAAGTAAAGTAAGAAACCTTTGATGTACACATTAAAGTCACCAAAATTTTTTATTTAACACATTTTTATATCTAGTCCAAAACACTGAATCCGTTGTCAATCTGAAATGTTCATCATTTATTTTCTCGCCGTTTTGTCTTCATAATTTACATCATCATTTTCAAATTTAAGTACACATAGATTGTCAATTCTATGACAAATTATTAACAGGCTCTATAATTAATTGAAAAAACTCATTTATAATAATAGAGATTGCTCGAAAAGTTCACTAAATTTATTTTGTTATTGTACGTTCATTATCGTATACACTCTTCAATTTCAATATTAAATCTTGAACTAGATTAATTTCATTTAAATCTAATAAATGTAAACATATAAATATGAATAAAATGCATCAGAATGATCAATTATGAATGAATAGAATAATCTATCAAAAATTTGTAGTGAAAATAATTTATCTATCATATTTATTTTTTAAATTATATTCAAATAATAACTGTTTTTCTACAAACAAATATAAAGGTCAGAGAGAGAGAGAAAGGAAGAGAAGATTCGTCTCGCCTGAATAATGATGCTATTCTTCTGAGAGCTTTATCCTTTCTTTTTACAGACACTCAAGTATATTCTAGAGTTGTCAAACTAATACAATGAGATTGTGAGAACTTTTTTTACTCTCTTTTTGTATAGAGAACAATCACATTTACCCGCAGAATCAACATATGAGACAATGATCATCGGAATGATAATGATGATAAAGAGATATTGAAAATCAGTACAGATGTCAGATTTATAACGTTCTGAAATGGTATCACTATTCATACACGATTCAACAAAAAGGACATATTTTTCAAGCTTTTAGAGATTTTAAACAATAAAGGAAAGTGAATTGTTCATTTGTCTCATAGAGAAGATTTATTTTTAGTTCCAGAAATCTCTGAAAAATCAAAGAATTCAATATGTACTTTTTAAAAGTTCAAGATCTCATTTTGAACTCTTTAGGGATCTTAAAATTAGTTCGTTATACGAAATAAATGAAGAACGCATTTTATTTTCAGTATAGATTCTGACTATCATTATCATCATTCTTACACTCCGATTCAATTGAAATATCACGATAATTCATTATATTAAGAGAAATATATATATACTAACGACGAAACAGTCAACCCTTACTTCACGCACTGTCTAAATTCTAAAAGTAGATAAAAATCACTAGTAGTGTAAATCACATAAAAAATATGTATTTCTTTCTTTCGACACATTACTTCGAATCAACTTTATTATTGCCGACATAATCAATCTGATATTTGAAAAAATGAGACAATTCTAATCATTTATTCAATATCGAATGGCGTAAAATGGCTCCATATATAGATATAGCATGCGGTTTATGGTTGTCAAAAAGTGGAGATTAAATATATTACTCTTTTCTTAACAAAAAAGAGAAGGAAGAAAAAAAGTTGTCAATCTAATACATAAAGATTGGATTTTTTTTTCTTCTCTATAAGCCCTATTCTTGTAGGAAAATAGATAGTGAACAATTACATTTGCCTTTTTCTCTTTTACTAGAAAATAAATCGGGCTTGTTATTAAAACAAATATATATACATTTCATTACATACAAAATAATAATTAACTATCAAATTCCATTCATTTTTTCCTTATCAAAATTACACATCTCTTTAATATATTTCTTTTTTTTTTACAAAATACAGTAAACTATTTTTCTTCTGTCAAAAAAAAATGGTTTAAAATTACAAAGCGTAAAAGTCCTTAAGAAAAAATAATTCCACAGTAGTCACCTCTGTTATTGATGAGCTGGGATAAATTATGACAGATCTAGTCAATGAATAAAAAAAGTCCTATAGAAAATAACTTCAAGAGTGACAAAAACGGTTAAACAGTCATAACTCCTAGAAAAGATTTTTACACTTATTATTCCTTTTCACCTCAAAAATGACTTCAGTGATGGTGAAAAATCGAGGAGAGGGAGAAAAAGTGATGAAAGATAACATTTGTAAAAGAATATTATCACTTACAACTCTTTCTTGTGCTATCTGAAAGATGTCTATCGTTACTCAAGACAACATTACATACATCGTCAGTTGAATATATAAACACCAAACAAATGAGCGGCTACGCGTCTGTATCAGACTATCATCGAACAACGCGAACATTTCAGATGAGACAAATGATATATTCACGAGAAAATGGTATAAAAAAAGATCGCGGTATTCTGTTAATACAACTTTGATATGCTCAGTCAAATAGTGTGTCTTGAGGAACAACTTTTTTCGTTAATCAACAATAAAAAATCAAGATTTTTTGAAAACTATGTTTCAAAAATTTTTTAGCCTCCTAAGAAGAAATCTGAGATCGGACTCAAAATAATGTATTTAGAAAATCAAAAGTTCAAACAGAATTTTGTTTGATTAACAGATCTGAACAAATCAAAACTGAAATAGTCGTTCGAATTCTTATCTGTTTAGTTGCCCAATGTTATGTGAATCAGTTTTTGCATGACATAGCCTACTTTTATGAGGATTAAGTGTTGGATCGTGTGTCATCATCTTAATTATGTCAATATATACTTTCTCTGACATTTTCAAACATAACATCTTTCTATTAGTGCAGTGATACGTATTTTTTTCCATTATTCTTTTAGATCTGAATGAACAAAAAATTTTCAAATTCAAAAGTGATTCAAACTCTAGATTTTGCAAGGTGTCACACACTTTTTAATGGCAGATTGAGAATATGCATGTAAGATTATCTTATGAGCGTGATTTTTAATATTATCTGACTCATGTATCAACATTGACGGTACAATACCGATACTATTTGAAAATGCGTTTTTGGTCTACGTTTTAATCGAAAAACTTTGGGCACAGAAGAGGTACCAAAGAATGTCAAATATCAAAGTTATTCACCTAGCTTAGTACTTATGCAGACATGGACTATTTGACTGAACATGTCATACTTGGCGACAACAGGATGCCAATAATATTTTGAAATCTTTTTTAACGCAATTTTCATGTATGTTCTAAAATATTCGTGTTGCCTGCGCATAACTTTGTATAAGTTTAATTCGATAAACGCATTATTTCTTAAACAATTAAGACTGCTAATTGTTCAGTGATAGTCATGTATATGAAACTGCAATCTATTTTTTGACATTTTATCATAAATAACATGGTTCAAAATAATAGTAAAAATCTTCCTCACTGCTCTAGGATTTTTTTTCTTGTGCAAAACTTATCATATTTGTTAGAATATTGTGCTACATCTACTTATTAATATTTCTAATCTTACCTCTTTAATAATCTCACTATAACAATAAGACAGTACAATTTTGTATGTATGATGGAAGAATTATTGAACAACAAAATGAAGAAAAGAAGAAAATCATTTCTACTCGTTCTTTATCTTCTCCTTTTTCTACTGGAAAATGATGAAGAATAGAATACACAAACAGATAGCACAACTAATAGACTTCTTATCAACAATAATCAACCGATCTTACACATTGCGTAAGAAATGTTTTCGAAAGAAAGAAATATGTTGAAAGAAAAAGCCACAAGAAACAAGATCGACGAATTAAGCAGATGCTGCATGTATTCTTTAGTTGTATTACTTTTGATACTTTGATGGTGATGCTACAAGAAGAGAAGAAACGGAAATAGAACAATCTCTCTTCATATTCAATTCTATACAGAAGAACGAAACAAGTTTGGATAAAGAATGACAAACATACAACAAATACAGTGTTATAGAATGAGGTAACGGTAATGATTCAGATCACACGACTAAACATGTACTGTGACGCTAAAGATAGAAATCAGCAAGTGATGAGATCAACAACAATTGACAAAATATTTCAATAACTCTTATGAATATATGTATATATCGAACCAAGACTTAAATAAACAATAATTTATATATTCAACATTTTTCCTTTTATTTTAAAGAAACAAATGTCAACATAAACATTCCCTCAACTTGATTTTTTTCAAAATAGTACTTTCCAATTATCTTGATTATATATCGCTCGAACGAAAACTTTTCAGGTGTTTGCTTAAATCCAGTTTTGAAGAACTTAAAATCTTCTTTTTAATGAGTGATTGCGCATCTCTCTACGACTTTTTCTCAAAAAAGTTGAAGTGCCTTAAAAACGGTAACGCAATCAGCTTTCCGGTAGCAGAGTTATGAGGAATAGCCACATAAAAACAAATTAAACGACACATTATTATAAAAATAATCGCATATTCCTGAGAAATTTTCTAATTTTTTGAATCGTAATGTTTATTAATTATTTTAAATGATCCACGTTCATATTGTACTACTGCGCCTTCAAATGGATTGTTATTGATTAGTTTCAATTCTTTTGAATATTTATTGATTAATTCTTGAGTCAATTCAACATTTTCCTCTAAAACTGGTACATGTTGTATTTCAAGTTCTCTGCATAAATTATGAAAGTAAAGTTCGCCATCATTCTTACGTGCATGTCTTTTTTGATCTAACAGAAATACAGAAAATATGGCCAATTGTAATGGCTGTTTACTGTGTGAATTTGTCGATTTATTTTGAATACCAGATCCGAATAATTCTCCTCTCAGCGCAAGTGATATTTGTTTCTTTTCACAATATACTCGTAGACGATCTGCTAAATTTTGCTTTTTAACGATTTGTGTAAAATTATTTGTTTTTGTTAAATCATATTCAAAATTTCGTCCACAAACACCAAATTGTTTTGTTCGATAATTATAATAAATAGTGCACGACTGCCCATCGATTTTTAACGTCACATCCACTAATTGATTAAACGGTAGATCGTTTATCAAATTTTCCCATCTTTCTTCATTTGTTTCTGGTATTCCAAATGGTAAATGCCCAATTGCATTAAGTCCTTGTGGAATCACTGGTTCATAATGATGAATGTGAAGTAATTCTGCCAGATCTTCACCTTCTTTTTCTGTCACTTGTACTCCACATCCATTATTTTGAACTACTGCACGTATAAGATCTAAGGATAAAATAATACCTTCACTCCATTCACCTCTTATTTTTATTGCTTTTACACGTATCCTTGCGTATTTCAAATATTCTTGTGACCATTCTTCGTCTAACGGTAAAACACTATCTGGTTGAATATAGACAACTAAATCATTTATATTGTATTTATCCTTTGGGGTTATACATTGATAACCAAGAACATGAACTAGATCTAAACGATCCGCATCTGGATGAGTAGAAACTTGTGTGATACGCTCAATAGTAGCAATCTTCATCACAATAATAAATCTAAAAATAAACTAAAAACAAACAAGTTCATACATTAATGTAATTTCGTTATTGTAAGAAAATTTCTACGAGATACATGGATAAACTATGCGGTATACTATTTTCATAGTAGAAACATCTTATAAGAAAACTGTGTAAGATTACATTCAAGATACTCAACTATTTATTCAACGTGGAATTTTGTAAGTTTAGTTGCATCATCCTTATATGCAATGCAATCAGAGTTTTGGAATAGGGGGGGAAAGGAGGGGGAAATCCCCCCCCCTCGTTTGAAATTCGGAGTAAGTGGTCTCCGAGTAAGTGATTTCGGAGTAAGTGATTTTGGAATAGGTGGAACTCGGAGTAAGCAATA